TCTATCATTTAATCAAGAAAATGCTAAGCTTTAATTCATTTTTGCAGACATGGATTTTCTTTGAGTTTTTCTAGTAACTTCCCTTGATCAATTCCATAAATCAAGAACAATTCGAGGATATATATATATATATATGAAGGTGGATGGAGTAAAGCTTTGGGGCAGCATTGTGCACAAATCTTTTCCAGGTGCATCGTCACATTCTAATTCTTTAACATGTGCAAATTTTAAAATTTTAAATGCAAGTTGTTAGTTGTAGGAGGACTTATTATTAGGCTAATTTATGCCATACTCAACTATGTTAACCAACCATTTGAGTTTCTTATTTATTCAGGATTCTTCTGTTGTATGTATCTATCCATCTTGTGTTGAGAAAACTCTTCATGAATGAATACATGAACTGCATGGAGCTCGGACCTTGAATGTATCATGTCAGTGGAGCTTTAAATAACAACCAATAGTTGGTTTTGATCAACATTGTAAAAAACAGTAGACAAACTGTGAGAGTGAGTTGCAACAGCAGCAGGAAGGTTAGTAGAGGAGTTATGGTTCTGCTCGATGATCAACAGTGATTTGGTCTCCAATTCCTCTTGATACACACTCAGCACACTTAATGAGATTCCCAATTTGATTGGAGATTTTGACTTCCAGCTTATTTTGGTGATGATTAATACATTAGTGATCCAACAATTTTATTCTTGATGATTTATTGTTGTGTACAACCTCCTTAGAGTAGAAGGAACTTTGTAATAATGCTATTTTTATAGTGGATGTTTTTTACTGGACTAGGTCCCCATGTTTTTTCCCCTTATGGAATTTTCACATTAAAAAATTTAGTGTCTTGATTTTGTAGACGTGATAATTTTTATTCTTGTTGCCTAATTTATTCTTGAGTTTGATTATTTTCCATTTAATTACACACACATAGAAGAATACTAGTTAAATGTCGTATTTGGTGAGCCCTTTTAAAACTATGTGTTATGTACGTAGATTAATTTTGGATCTATGAATCCTCTAATACTAACTAAAAAGGCCCACTTTTATCTTTGTGATCCCTATTCAAATTCAAGTTATTAGCTGAACTGGATGGATTCTTTAATGGTAGATCATAATTGGACTTGCAGATATTGTTAACTCAAACAAAGACTTAGGATTTGATTCATATACATATTTTTGAATTCAACTGAGTAAAACAGATGGATATTGTTCTTGAAAAAAGAAAAGTAAATGATTTATTCATATCCACCATAAGTTTGAGAACTTAGTTCAAACCCTAAAGAAATATTATTCAAAAGTTATGAAGGGAATGATCTCTGGTATCTTGTGATTCTGTATAGTTTTATACATAAGAAATGAAATATTAACATTATTAGTACATTTACTTCAGTTGAATACTGAATACTCTACTGCCGGAAAGGGTAGGGATAGTATCTGATATCAATCTAGAGCAACCAGGCTGAATGCTCTTTCATTTTCGATCCTTGCAGTCACGTCTGTTGTGTATGCCTCCTGATGAACACATGTGATCCATGAACCCACGTGATCCTTGCAGCCGCAAATCATATTGAATAATTGGTTTGCACATTATAATGTTCTAGCTTTCTTCGGTTAGCATTGATCCTTTCAGGGGTTGCACAACAGCACCGCACATTACCTACAAAAATCAGCACAAGAATACCAGCAGAAAAGCTAACTTTTAACAGCCCTAAGTATGAGCTACATTGTAATTAGTCTTTGGTGTACACATATTATGAGTTATAACTAATATCTGAATCTGATTTTTTTTTTTTTTCTCATATGGGAAAATATGTAAAATGAAGCATTTGGATGACAAGTTAACCCTTGGGACTGTAGTCTTGGTATTCTTGAAATGCTATGGCATCCAAGTCTTTGACAAGGTTTAAAACAATCTTTTGTTCTAAAGCAGCATTTATCAGATTAAGAACCACCCATGGATTGGTCTCCATATAAATATACTAAAATGGGAATCAAGGGCTCAAAGGCAATTATGTTCACATGTAAATTCCTATTACTGGTCTTCCAAGTTGGAGAGACATTTATTGCCACAGAGATGAATGCAAAAAAGGTAAATAAATTAGCACAGATATGACATTTAGTTTAAATTGAAAAGATGCAAAGATTGAGCTGATATAGAAGAACATGTAAAGAAATCTCACCACATGGCTCCCACTTATTGAAATCCACCAGCCATGTGATGCTTGAACCAGTCTGTGTAGATAAAACACGATCCACCCAAACCCAAAACATTTTTCCCCGCTTGTCTCCATCCCACCCTTTCAATTCATGTATGCGTTCATGTAGAGTTTTCTCAACACCAGATGGATGGACAGTTACAGCAGATGGACCCTGAAGAAAGAAGAATTAAAATGGTGGTTCTTTCTAAACATAGATCATAAAGTACTCCAACAAAAAATGAAAAGTGGAAACAACATTTCTTAGTAGATTCATTAGATAAAGAAAATCAATAAAAGTTGATGCAGAATGTCAATAGGTTCCAGTCAAAGTAGATCTAAAATGTAACTTAGTCCTAGTAATGGTTCCCGGTACAGCTACATAAAGTACATTTTTGGTCAAGCATTTAAGCTAAAAGTTTTCTTCACTTATCAGTTTATTATTTTAGAATAAATTTGCTTTCCTAATTTTCACACAATAAAAGCTATATACTTCTATCTATACCTATACTCAAGTTAATCCATCAGCCAACACTCCAAACTTA